ATAGTGGAGGTCAGAAGAGGGCAGCAGATTCCCTTGAGCTGGAATTACAGACAGGTGTGATCTGCCTGATATGAGTACTAGGAACTGAGCTCAGGTACCCTGGAAGAGCAGTAAGTTCTCTTAACTGCTGAGCCCTCTCTCCAATCCCTGTTTCCCATTTCTTTTAAATTTCTTTTAATTCATATTCATCAAAAATTCATTCTTATATGGATATGAGTTTTGACAAAAGCAAAAAGTTGTATAACCATTGCTGGATTCAAGAGACAAAATAATCTCAGCACCAGTTCAGTCTGCTTATGCTACCCCTTTGTAATCAGCACCAGCCCTTTCCGTAACTTCTGGCAATGTGTTCTCCACCCACAGTTATGCCTTCCTCAGGACATCAGGGAAGTGGGATCCTTCAGCCTTTGAAAAGAGTAAAAAATTATTTTTTATAATTTTCTTTAAAAATTAACTTAAAATTAGCATACAAAGTAGTATGTGTCATTATGGCATTTTCATACATATGTGTCTCTATACTTCATTCTTATTCATCTCCCTCCCCCCTCCTCTCCCATCCCCTCCCCTCTTGCTTGCCCCTCTTTCTCTCCCCAAATAATCTCTGCTTCTCTTTTACTGTATTCCATTTTCCCCTCCAAATCCTTTAAGGTCCCTCTCATTGTCCCCTTTCTACTTTTATCACATATGCATAAGTATAAATTTAAATCTAGATTCTACATATGAAAAAAAATCTCTGTGAAAGACTGTCAATTTTGATGAAGACTGTCTTTTGCCTTTTAAAATGCACTGTGCTTTTGGTATCACACCTAAGAATTCTCTGCCCATTCCAGAGGTACATGATTTTCTCTTATTCTTCCTTCTAAATGTCTCATAGGTTTGTGTTACATTGGTATTTGTGATCTATTTTGAGTGAATTTTAAAATAATTTATGAGGCATAGGTCTTTTTTTGCCTAAGGATATTCAGCTCTCTGTTTTGATTAAAAGACTCATCTCTCCACATTTAATGACACTTTTCTAAAGGAAAAAATATGATTTGACCTACAATATGAACTCAAACATCTTCTAACATAAAGGGAAAAAGTTCTGTAGACTCTTGGACATGACCAACAGAGTCCTGTAGCCCAAGAGAACACCCACAGTTTGTTTTACTACGCGTCGTAAAACTAAGCGTATTTTATATGCTGTGATTTCTACGTTGGTTTTCTTTGCCCAGGCTTTCATATGTCTCAAAAAAGAAAAACTGAACATATACTAAAACTTTAGAATGAGGCTGGCACTTAAGACTCATTTAACTGAATTTTTCTTTTTATAAACTTATAGAAATAGCACAAGTATATAACAGAGTATACTTGACACATAAGTATCAGCTGGGAGTGAAGACACCAGGTGATACTGGCTTTCTATTTCTCTGTCCTCTCTTTGGACTCTGGGACTGGCTTCTCTTCCTCCTCATCACCTCAGGTATTGGTGTTCCCCAAGCTCATTTCCTGGATCTCATTTTTTTCTTCCATTCCCTAGGTGATCTCATGCTAGCCATAGCTCAAAATGGCACATATACTTCATGAGTCAAAGCTGTTACAGCCCCTTGCTTTTTTGAATTGCAGACTGGTTTACCAACTGCCTCCCCAACACAGCCAAGATGTCTGATAGCAACTTGTCTACCACTGTGATTTGTTTTTTCCACCAAACCTTGCTCTTTGTCCAGTCTTTCCCATTGTAGTGAAGTGCACCACCATTCTTCCAGTTGTTGAGACCAGGAACCTGGGCACCACCTGGAAACTCTCTCTCAGACCCTCTTATCTGAACTATGAAATGCACCCTGAATCTGACTGCACCATAGTCACAAGCTGCTGCCTCTGGGGCCTGGGATATGGCCTTGTACTTCCTGCATTTGCTCCTGCAGACTGTTCTCCACACAGTAGTCATGAAGATTAGATCATGCCTTGCCCAGCTGGAATCTCATGGATGGCTTTTATCACTCTGAATCAAATCTTCATGATCTTACCCCAGCAGATTTCTCTGAACTTTCCTGTCCTTTGCCTTCTACCTGTTTTTTGTCTTTGAGCCCAAGTTTGTTCCCTCTATCAGGCTTTTTACTTGCCGGGTCTGTGTGTATGCTCAACCCTGTGTCTTCTTGAGGCTCTAGTGTGCCACTTTTCCACAGGGACCTTCTTTGGCTTCTCTCTCTCTCTCTCTCTCTCTCTCTCTCTCTCTCTCTCTCTCTCTCTCATGCCTGTCTTCCTTCTACCTGCCTTGTCTTTGTACCATGCTGCAGTATCCTTTCTAGAATTACTACTCCCCGCAGTTATATCATCGTTTTCTGCATGTCTTTTTGACTGAAATGTAAGCTCCAAAAAGGTGAAATTTGGCCTGATTCTCAGCTGCAACCCCAGCTTTCAGAGCAGGGTGCGTCCCATAGTAGGTATTCAATGAATGTTCCAGGAGATTGGCATGTGAGATCAACACCTGTAGATTCCTTTCTATTCTATTTTGATCCCGCCTCTTCCCTAGAGGTTTCTGTTGCTAGTTAGGTAAATAGCTTTCTGGATTTCTTAAAAAAAAAAAAAAAAAAAAAAATTTATAAATGTTCACAATTTTCATGATAATGAAAATTGTTTTATACTGTATTTTTTCCTCTCTTAATAATATGTTTTGGATATTTTCCTATTAGTTTATTCTTTCATCTATGTATATGCCAGATTATACAAATAGTTCTTTTTAATAGCTACACTGTAGTCCATATTACAAATGTAACACAATGTGGTCATTTTCCTGTTAACGGGTATATGGATTATGCCCCTTTCCACTGCTATAAACAGGAGTACAGTGAATATACTTGCGCACAAATCTTTTGCACACACTGGAATTTTCTTTTAGTAACTTTGTATATAGTGTTGGTGGGAGTGTAAAACACTTTCTCTAATTTTATCCTTCCAGCAGTAGTTTATGATTGCCTATTGCCCCATATCTTCACCAACACTATTATTCCAGTATGGGCAAAAAATAAATAAATAAAAGTTCAACTCTTTTTACAAATGAGAAAGGTAATAAAAATCTGACTTGCAAGTAGAAATTATGCATTTCCTAAACTGGTAAGCTCTTGAATTTCTAGATTAGAAACTAGCCTCATAAAGAAACACAGTGTGAAAGCAAGCACGGAATGTGATTTAAGAAACATCTGCTTGTGTAGACTTTTTCAGAGCCTTTGTATTGACATACATGCTGAGAGAGCGACACCCCAAGCCCAGGATCCTGACTATCTTGCTATAAAATACTATTTCCAGATGACTTTAAAAAAAAAGAATCCACAACCCAAAACTTCAAGTGTTAGAGTTGGCTGGAGAGTTCATGGAAGCTGTTGCACTTGATGATTTATTGTTACTTAACAACTTTGTGGTTTCTTCTGGGCTTTGCTAGAGCATACTTAGAGAACAAGAGAGGTTATCTGTCTTAATGACTAGGCCTGGAGTCCAGAACAGAGGCACAGGAATGAATAGGAAGAGCAATGCCAAGTCAGAGGAGAGCCAGTTCACAAGCAGCACCTGGGGGCTTCTATGACATTAGTCCATTTCAGCCCAGAACTAGTGTGAATGTTGGCTGGCTCTGGCTTGATCAGGGCTGCTCTGAAGTTCAAAAGACAGCCCTGAGTCTTCTGTGTTTTCATCATCTGTCAATTGTGGGATGAGAGACACTTTTGTGGCATCAGTATGTTAGAGTTTGAAGAATTCTATGAAGTTAGCTGCTGCTGCTATCCAGATGATAAAACTGAGGCTCCAAGAGGTAGACAGTGATGCTTAAACTCAATGCTATTAAATAATGAAAGGAAAGGCTCTTTTATTTGTACCTTATAGACTTAGATTGTTAGGTGGAAAAATACTCTTGCTTTGAAACTCCTAAAGCAGAACTGGTATAAAACTAGTATATATGGGGGCTGGAGAGATGGCTCAGTGGTTAAGAGCACTGACTGCTCTTGCAGAGGACCCGGGTTTGATTCCCAGCACCCACATAGCAGCTATGAACCATCCTTAACTCCAGTTCCAGGGGAATCTGATGCCCTCTTCTGACCTCCGCAGCATTGCATGACATGGGTGCACTCACATACATGCAGATAACACACTCATACACATAAAATAAAAATAATAAATAAAATATTTTTAAAAACTAGTATATATGTCATTATACCCTTGCACACCCCTCCACCTGACCATGACAGACATTGTTAATCAACCTCAGCAAGCTCTAACCCAGACTCAGAACCTTCCTAAACAATTCTGCTGGCAGCCACAGTCATAATTGAGTTAAGCTTTCATATGAATGTTTTCCCTCTTATAAATGATGTGTCCGTATGATTCATGAAGGGGTGCCAAGAGCCCTGGACTTCCAGCCAGAAGACTGTGGTTTGACCCCAGTTTGCTTTTTCCTGGTTATGTTGTCTTAGGCAAGTCACTTGACTAGTTGTTTGTGTTTGAAATGAGAGACTTGAGTTGAATAATATTTAAACATCTTCTAGCTTCAAAAATTGTTATGATTCAAGGCACAGAGATTTTGAGTCCATGAATTTACAATTAAAGGCAGGTATTCCATGAAGATTGTAGGTGGTTCTCAGAAAGTTTGCTGTATTGTAGACCTGTTACTGGGACTCAGATACCATGTTTCTATATTGTCCTGACTACTATTTCTTATTCGCTTGGTTCCATGGACCTACATCCCCGAAGCAAGAATTTAGGGGTTCACAGGGGAAAGAGGGAGAATCATTTAAAATGAGCGGACTTGCAGGAGCCCATTCTTGGCTGAGGGGGTGGACACAAATGGACTCATACTAAGCCAAGCAAGGCTCTGTGCAGTTGGGGGGTCTCAAGTCGATTTTCTCTTCATCTCTTTCCTCCCTTTTACTTCCTAATGAGCAGGAGGCCCTGCCTTCATGCAGGGAGCCTCTTTGGGCTCCCGGCCCCTACCGTCCTCTGTTCCTGTGGTGACCTGACTCCTGTTTGTTTTCTAGGCTCCCCTTCCCTTCGGGCATATCCTCTCCTCTCTGTGATCACCCGACAGCCTACCGTCATCTCTCACCTGGTTCCTACTGGCCCAGGAATTGCCCCAGTGCTATCCCGGCACCCAGTTACTGAGGCTGCCTCTGTCGAGACCCCTGGTGGTGAGGCTTTAGCCAGCAGTGAGTCGGAGACAGAACAACCCACGCCCCGACAGAAGAAACCTCGCCGGAGTCGTACTATCTTCACTGAGCTGCAGCTCATGGGCCTGGAGAAGAAATTCCAGAAGCAGAAGTACTTGTCCACCCCAGACAGGTGAGGACACAGGGAGGGCACTCTCTGTAGGTACCACCCCGGAGAAGGGGCATTTTGCTCTCTGTGGGTTGTAGAGTCACAGAGGAACTTGCAGCACTGTGCCCCACTCTGGCATAATCTGTGTTCCTTTGCTCAAGTCCTGTCAACCATATGTTAGCTGAGACAGCCCACATACTTCACCACATAGAGCCTGCCCAAGCCGAATGTGTACTCTCCATTCTATTTCCTCCGTGTTCAGGCTAAACCACTCGTGGATAATAAGCAAGGGAAAGTTGAGCAGATAGCTGCCTGGTCTCTTTGCTAGCAGCCAAGCTTGGTTTTGTTTTTTGCTTTGGAGAGAGGGTTCTCACTATGTAGGAGTGGCTGACCTGGAATTCAATATGTAGACCAGGTTTGGCCTTGAACTCACAGAGCTGTGCCTGCTTCTGCCTCCTGAATGCTAGGACTGAAGGTTGTCACCGTGCCTGGCTCAAGCTTGGTTTTTATAGCCTTCATCATTAAGCATCAGCTGCAAGGGAACTAGATGTGACTTGGGAGCTATGATTTCAGTTCTCTCCTGCCTTCTGAACACCTAGCTGACCCAGTTTGCTGACCTGGCTCTTGCTTGGAAAGGCCTGGATTGATCTAGGTTTTCTGATACCTTAGTGAATCTAAAGGCTATCAGAGCAGAACCACCTAGCAGAGGTGGTGAAAAAGCTGGAAAAGACTCTACCTTTAAGATCCATGTGGGGACAACTGTAGCCCTTGCATTCCTTGGAGGCCCCAACACCCTCACTCCCCTTCTTTAAGTTACTATTTTAACTATAAGATGTGCAGGTGCTTGTCTTACTTGTTCCTTCAGCCCACTCTGAGGTGGCTGAGCTCATGGCTGGTCCTATTTGTTGGGACATTTTTTTTCCTCTGCTTTGCCCTCTACTTTGTCCATATCAAGTTGGCCCTAGTCCTACGAAAGAACAGGAAGAAATGCAGACGAATGTCTGCAGCTTTGTAGTAGCTGCACGATAAAAAATGGAAATGAAAGAAGAGCCTGCAAGCCTCCCTCTCAAGGGAACAGATTCCATTAGCTGTTTGCTGAGGGGCTCCTGGGTACTGCCACAGTGGGGTGGCAGGGGTTCAAAAAGCAGTAAACAGAACCCTGCTTTGAAGGGCATCATGGTGGGGAATGACTAGAATTATTGTTACACAGTGAGTCAGTGCTGTTGCTATATAGGGCCACAGGAACCCCAAAATACTGCTGAGTGTATCAGGAAGGCTGGAGAAGGCTTTAAGAGGATCTTTTGGTTCCAGAAGAGACAGGGCATCCCACACAGAGGGGATGTCCCTAAAAGGCTCACTGGGCATGCTGAAAGAATTCCAAGTGTGGGAGTTTCCACTTAAGGTGTGAATGAGGTGGGAAGGGCCTCATAGACCTGGTTGAGGAATGTGGGCCTTGCTTTTGAGGCAATTACTAGCCTATAAGAGCCAGGCTTACATTTTAGAAGCATAGTTTTGGTAGCATCACAATTGATGGATTAGAGGCAAGTGATGGAAAAGGAAAACCAGTTAGGAGAGAACCTAGGGATGATTGCAGGTGACAGAATGGGAGGAACTGACATTGGACAAGGGAGAAGGGTGGGAGTTCAGCCTTTTGTGGTTCCTGAATGAGGCCACTAGTAAATAGGAATGTTTTCCACTGAAGTGGGAAGGCATGGGTCAGGGTAGGTTTGATGGGGAAAGACTAAATTTTGTTTTGAACATTCACATTTGGATTACATTTGGGAAGACAGTAGATACTGGTCTGTGAATTGGGAATTAATACATGGGATCCCTAGATATTAAATGTCTGCTTCAATGTCCCTGGCAGGGAGTTCAGTCTCATGGATTTGTGTAACCAGGTGGAGTGGCCACTATTACTTATGAGTTATATGACAATGGTGTATCTAAGAAGCTTCAGAGAGTATGGGTAAAAATTTAGGTTTATTTCTCAAAAGTTGGAGAACTTTAAATAGAAATGTTAGTTCTCCTGGGGCTTCCTGATACCTGTCCAGGCATCTCTCAGGTGACCCACACAGGACTGATTCACTTGCCTGGGGAGGAGGATACCATCTGGCTGGCATGAAGTTGACACCTCCACCCACCCTCTCCTGTGTTCCCTACCTCCCTACGTGACCAGAGCCATGAGTACGCCCTCCTCCCACAGCCCCTGCCCTCCTCCTCTGTGTTTGTTTCTGCAGTTTCCTAGGTGACTCCATTTAAGTGAATATGCAGGGAAGTGAACATTTGTAACGGTGGCAGGTAAAGAGAGAAAGCTGATGACAGTGAAATGTTTCTGCAGCCAGCATGAGTCAAGGATGCATTTTTCCCAAGTGAACTAACAGCATTTGCTAATGCCATGGCAGAGCTGTGGACCTTCCACTGACTAATATACCTTATGGCCTCAGGTGAACCAGAGCAGGAGAAGACCCATGGGACTACTAGAGCCCAGGGTGGCCCTGGGACCAAAGTCGTAGGATGACCCCTAGGTTCCTGGTTCCTAATAAATGGCTGCTTACAATGCAGTGCTTCATTTATGGGGAGAGCTAAGTGCCATTGGCACTGGGAGTTTATTGCCTTTGGTTGGTTAATTACATTCAGTAAAACTCTCAGCTGCCTGTTCCCCTTCTATAGGGATAACCAGATGTATGTGAATGCAGCTTTAAGACAGACTCAGTGGTCCCTTGAAGGCAGACTCTTATTTTTTTAAATTATAGCTAGACAATTTGTGCACCCTGATCAGAGCAGCTGTGCTGGGCAGCTATGCCTGTAATCAACTGTTGGCCAATACCAGCCCCAGAACTGAGTATTCTTGCTTGATCTCCTCAGGAGGGAACCCTGCAGTGGAAGACTTGCACCTGAAACTCCCATGAAACAGGCAGGAGCCTGTTTAGGCTTGCATGTAATAGTGGTCCAAGATCTACAAGTAGTAATTCTCAGAAACCTCGGGACCTCCAAATAGTGGTGGTCATTGCCCAAGCTGATGCGCAAGTCCACAGTGCTTCACAGAGCAGGAGTGGAGCTGTAGGGTGGTTTCAGGCAGATATGGGTGGATTTTACTCTTACTCCAAGATCCAGGGGTCAGCGTAATCTATACAGTGCCAGAGAGTAAATATTCCAGATTTTGTGGGCCACCTGATCTGTCACAGCTACTGAGGTCTGCTGATGTAGCACAGACAGCCATGAGCAATATAAAAGCAAATTAATGTGTCTCTAGTCCAATAAACTTAAAAAAATCAAGTGTCAGGAAGAGTTTGTCTATATTGTTGAGAAATTCTAATCTCTCTCCAAGCTTTAAATCTTTCATCTGTAAAATGGGAAAAATTGTACTGACGTCACAGTGTGCTAAGAAGAAATATAAGATGGCACTAAGTAGGCTTAGCACATCATCTGAGAGGCCGTCACACTCTAGAAATGGTTATTGTGTTATTGGAATTACCTCCAGCCACTCCCTGGGACCGGCTTTGACTTAGGCTTTTCAGAAGGCTACAGAGAAATGCAGAGACCTGATGTGTGGAAAGCAGCAGGTACTGTGGATCTAATGCTCTGTTTAATCATGTTCAGCATTTTAGTTGTTGATCATAATTTAGGGTAGCTACAGTGAAAGATAGAATTCATCAAAAGGCATTTCTGGGGCTGATGAGATGGTTCAGTGGATGAGTTACTTGCTATACAAGAGGGAGAGCTCAGATCCCCAGAATCCACATAACAGCTGGCCAGGTGTGGAAGCTGCCAGTAATCCCAGTGCTAAGTAGGTAGAGACAGGAGATTCCAGGGCAATGGAGAGCTCTGGGTTCAGTGAATGACCCTGCCTCAGTAAATAAAGTGGAGGGTGATTAAGACACCTGACATCAACTTTGGGTTTCTATACACATGTGTACACGTGTGCATGAAGATATACATATACGTACACACACCATATATACAGATACATGCAAAAAGTATTTCTGAGCTCAGTTTCTGGATTTAGCAATATGGTAGGCACTTTTGTGGCCACAAATGAAGTGAAAGGCTTGCTGTTGAGTTGGGGAGTTTGAAGTAATCTGTGATCCTAGGATAGGTGACCACGCAGTCCATCTTGGAGGTGGCTAGCCTGTGGGAGGGATTGGAGGAGAGTCGTGGGAACTGGGAGGCTCACCTGCCAGAGGCGGATGTGGAGCAATAAGTTGGAATTCTCATGGATGTATGGCTGTATTTTTTATTTTCATTTTTGGGGGATCAGAATACACATTTTGTGGAGAATCAAGACGAAGACTGAAGTTCGTTTCAGAGGGAGAATGTTTCCAGGGCAAGGGCTCTGCCCGTTGTTCTTCCATGGGACCCTCTGTTTCTCAACTTCCCAGTTTCCTCCATGGTATTCTTGTAAGGGGGAAACTCTTCCTCTGGGGGAATAATTGGTTTAATGGCAGCAATCTGAGCTTTAGTAGCAAGCCCTTGGTGCTAGGCAGCAGGACCCATCTCTCCTGCTGTCTCCTGTCTTCTTCATCCTTTCTTTGTGTCTTGTGCCTTCTAGGTTGGACTTGGCTCAGTCTCTGGGACTCACTCAACTGCAAGTGAAGACTTGGTATCAGAATCGCAGGATGAAATGGAAGAAAATGGTAAGAAAGGAAAGTGAGCTAACCCTGAGCCTGTCTTGATGGGAAGAATTCTCACTGCAGGACTGTTGGGAGGCAGGAAGGAACCCTCATGATCCAATCAGTTTCTCAAAGCCCCACCTCTGAACATTGCACGTTAGGGACCATGCCGTGAACACATTTCATACCCAAACTGTAACATCACTATCCCTTGCTATCCTCTGTTAACAGGCCTTGTCCTAGGCACTATAGGAAGTAATAAAATAATAAAGTAAAGCCTTCATTTTCAATGGAATTTGTGATGCTGTTGGAAAAGGAAGGCTCAAACAGAAGCCAGGAAGCACAGAATGATCCAGTGCTAGTTGTTTGGTGTGGGTTAATAAGCCCAGATGAGTTCAGGCAGAGGTGGTGAGAATGGCGGCAGACAAGCCGAAATGGAAGACAGTGAGATTCAGTTAAATAGAGAGCCATTCTAAAAACGATAAGATCACACACATGAAGCTTACCGAGGAAGCTTCGGGGGAGTGCTCTCTGAAGGAAGCAAGGTTGGGAGTGAGAGGCACTGGGCTGCATTCCCAACTGCCCCTCCTTGGTTGATTTTGGGCAAGTCCCTTTGCTGCTTTCCTTGCAAGTTCCACCACCTACCTCTTGCCTCATCAATCACCATCATCGAAATCAATGTCTCCTGAGTAGCAGAGGCATTGTTTAAATCGGTTATCAGCAATCTTCTCATGAGTCAGATGAATAACAAACTGACAACCAGTGCTGTTGACCAGCCCTGCATGTGTCTTTGCCTCTGACGTTACCTGTTTTCCAACCAGCCACTATGCTGCCGGCACAGTTCTGGGTGGCTTGATGATGGTTATCAGTCATATGTATCAAAATGGAAGTAACTCAGCAGATTTAACCTCAGAGAACATTCTAGGCCAACCAAATCCAGGTCCCTTTAGGAAAGAAAAAAGCTGAACTTTCAGTTGATACCAGTAATAGTATGTGGATCAATTAACTTTATCATGTAATGGAGAAACAGTGACAAACTGAATCCCCATTAAACAATTTTAAAAAGCTTTGTGGTTTTTTTGTGTTTCCATATCGTGGGTGTGAGTGTGGTTAAAGGTCATGAAACTAAAAAGGGGACTGACCATGAGAGGAGGAAAAAGAGGTATTGAAAGGGGACATGAAGAAGAAAAGAGGCTGCTGGAGGTGGAAGGGTGTGAGTGGAGGCAGGAGAATGGGAAGAATCAGGGCAGGAAGGTCACCAAAAACAAATTATGCTTGAAAATCTCTAAGGAAACCTGAAACTTTGTACGCTGGTTCAAAAAAGTAAAAAATATTAACTTAAAAACACACAAAATGGGCCAGGCGTGGTGGTGCATGCCTTTAATCCCAGCACTCGGGAGGCAGAGGCAGGCGGATCTCTGTGAGTTCAAGGCCAGCCTGGTCTACATAGTGAGTTCCAGGACAGCTGAGGCTACAGGGAGACCCTGCCTCAAAAAGACCA